CACAAAAACTTCGCACATACTTCACCGCAACACTATGCTAACCAAATCAAATCAGATGAAAACACCAACGCCCTTAACATACTGACACTAGGAACCATCACTGCAATGACAATCTCCCAATGAAAAACTCTATAAAAACAACGACACCTTATCACGTGTTCCACCTCTACCCTTTTGAAGTTGACACTACCTCAATCGCTGTACGCGCAAGACCTGTGACCTCAATCACAATGACTCACTGACTCTTCAAAGAAAAGATGCCTACATGGCAACACTTACCGATCTGGTCTTAAAGACTAAGCTGTCCACCATTACCTCGATTGATGCGCAATCCCATCACATATCCGTCAGCACACAACAACACTCACAATTTTCAACCTACATTCGGATCATACCTCAAACTATTACATTCATCAATACCAAACATCACACCATAACACCTCAACTACTATTCTTCCCAAACAACAATCCAAACCTATCATCCCACCTGACCATCAAACCACAACTAAATGACTTTTCCTCAAACATCTTTAAGTCAAAATCATCGCAACAAAAGAACAAACATTACCCTCGATACTCCCCATAATGATCACTGTATATCACTTAGAAAAAAATCTCTATACAGCAATGTCATGCCGACAAATCCTCAAACAAAATGTGCATAAGATCCGGAATACTCAACACCCATTTGTCTCCTTAGAATCATCAACGACACAATCATTCACAAACGCTTAACAAACTACTTAATCCACTCCTTCTAAGGTGATCGATGTGCCTAAGCAAGAAAACTTCGTGTCCTAAGTTCAACATCATTGCCATTACCATCACCATCTCCATTACTCGTTAGACCAAACACTTACCAAAGGAAAACACTAATAAAATGCTAGAAATAAATGTAATCACATACCTTTGACTACAGGAGGTCTCTCTGGTGACTCAACAGGAGAAACAACCGAATTGTCTCTACGACCCTGAGTCTCCCATTCCCATGGCTCTTCAAGCTGAACACTAATCTGTGATACTGAAGGTCGAGTCAGTCCTTGCCCTGAACCTACCCCATCAACTGGAATTCCACCTCTTTTGGGACAATCCTTCTTCCTATGGTCAGGCTGACCACATATAAAACAAACTCCAGAACTAGGCCGATCCCAAGGGCATTCTGCTCTCAAATGACCTGTCTGCTTGCACCTATAGCAAGCCTTCTCGACCTTAGGGGATGTCTCCAGTGGTGACGTAAAAACCACAGGAGAGCGAGAAGAATCACTCTTCAAAACCTTCCGTACATAACTCTCAAACAACATTTCCACTTCCTTAACCTGATTTTGCAAGTCTCTATCTCCTGATCCGTCCTTAACCCCTGATCTCTCTAACTGCACCATCGACCTTTGAGTTTCCATGACTACTGCACGTACAAAGTTTGCCATAGCCTCAACCAGATTCTTAACCAAAAGGTCCCTATCAAGGAACTCGCCCTGCTCCCCACCATTATCTGCTTCTCTACGTCTCTTTGGAGGCATGACTCTAAAAATGGAAAAAAACATGTCAAATACAACACAATCATACAACCCTGACTCAAGACCTTGAACACTCACACACAATAAAGGCATTAAGCCAAGAAGTTTGAACCCGTTCTACAGTCGTGCTCTAAGCACCGCAAAGAATGCAATAAAAGATCAGGATGACAACACGCCAAATAGCTCAATCCACGAGCTAGAAGCCCATGCCATTTGTTCGACAGGAACCGGCACCCAAACAACCTTGGAGCACCCGAGCTCCTCACTTACTCAAGTCAAAACCTACCCAACCGTCAATACCATGACTAATACCCTAATGTACTAACAATCACTCCAATGCTTAACCGTATAACTACATAAGGATGTGGACGCATATACATACACAAAATGAATAAAGCCCACAATAATACACGAAACACATTTGCATATACCATGCCCATAACTTGTCATATTAGTATCTAAATTAGAACTGCACACACCGTGCCTACTGCTTCTCGTCACCAAACTCCTCATGTACAATCAACAGGCTTTTCTTTCCTTTCACATTTCCGTTACACAGTTAAATTATCTAACTAATCCTCATACATGGCCATATAGCATAAATTTTAGCATTTAAACACGTAAGCATTTAACAATTCGGTATGCCCTCAAAACTATAAACATATAAGCATGTGATCACATAAACAACTAAGCAGATAAGCTAGTAAGCAAGTAAGCATGCTTTCCAAATTGTAAACACATAATCAATTAGACAAATAAGCAAGCTTCTTCAAATATCAAAACATGTAACAAATAATTTTATATGCAATGCAACAACCTCCTACGTAATCCTACATAGGCCTCTACCCGTCGTCCTAAGGTTTTCAAACCATCGCTCTAATACCATTCTGTAACGACCCAAATCCTCATGGATCCAGATCATTAAACGGGTCCTTACTTGACCCAAAATCATCCGAGGGTAAAACGGTCTCTTCACATTAAATTTAAATATCAAGCCCGAAAAGGGCAAAATGGTAATTTACCATAATTCAATAAATTGAGACTCAAGGGTAAAACGGTTATTAACTTATATCACATAGTAAATAAAATAAGGTTCAGGGCAATATAGTCCTTTCGGGGGTTAAAATATAATTATGGCATTTTAGTGGGTCATAAAATAATTATTTACAACTTCAAGTGGGTGTTAAAGTGTAATTTGGGAAATTAAATACATACTACTTGAGTGGCATAAACCGGTCGACGTCTCCACACCATACATCGACTAGTTTGGATATGAACAGTGGAAAGCCCACTGCCAAGATACCGGTCGACGTATGGGGAGCTATACGTCGACTGGTTTGGAACGTGATACCATACGTCAACTGGTTTGGAACGTGTACAAGATTACCACACTGTAAGATGCTGGTCGAACGTATGGGGGCCATACGTCCACTAGTTTGGGTCATTCACGTTCAAAATGCTTACTGTCAGGATACCGGGATGACACACGTCGACTGGTTTGGGTTATCCAGACTCGGTTGCCACTGTCCAAAGAAAAACCAAACACTTGATGCTCAACCACCCACGTCATTACACTTATGTACATAAATTAAGATATACTTCAACATCAAATTGTAATAACAACCACCACGTTGATAACGTAATTTACAACACGTTACTTAAAATACACAAAACTAATTTTGAGTGAGTAATACTTAATTACATTTTCCAATGGCCATAATTGCAAACTTATTTACATTCTCCAAAAACTATGATTATACATGTAATGGCCAAATACAAAATAGCAAAAAATCATCTTCTAACAACTTTCAAGCTTTCACAGGATTCTCATCCGCCATTTTCTTGCCATAACCTGAAAAATATAATAATATAGTGGAGTGAGCAATTTGCTCAGTAGGTAGCGCCTAAGACACACCTCATGAGACCCCGTGAATCCAAAACAAAGAATAGGCCAATAGGAGTTGCGGTCATTCAACATAGGAAAAATACAACATGGTTATCATCCTCAATTCAACATAGGAAAAATACAACATGGTTATCATTCTCAACACAAATAATAAGATTCAATGGAGATGCAATGCATGCCGATGTCGCTCCCCATTTTCACAATTAGAATCATCACTTTCAAACTGTTAATGTAACCCCCTTTGGTGACTCCGCAACGCCAAGAGAAGGATTGGCTACTGTCCCTGACCTTTGGTGACTCCGCAGCGTCATTATGGGGCCCAGATAGCTCCACCACACTAGGGCAATCTCCCTAGTTCCCTCTAGGTTATATTAACCGACCGGCCCGTTAGTGACTCCGCAGCGACCGGGTTTTCCAAAACACTTTCATCAAAATATTCTTTCCCAAAACTCCCCATTTTCATTTCAAAAACAATTTCTTCCCTTCATGCAACCCAATGGTGTACATGCATGTCTCATGATCACAATACTATGAAAATGAGGAATTTGACACAACACAAGTAAGCATGTTCTCATACTTTTAATATTTAGACAATAATGGATTATCACAAAATACAATAGGCATGCTTTCATACACCATTCATAGCATGTGAACAATACAATAGGCATAAAACTCATTATATAAGCATGTTTCTCATATAGCACAATCAAGACAAGTCTTCACATATTCACGTATACACAATCAAGACATTTTAGGCTTCAATTAATACCAATAAGCATGTTATAACACAATTCAAGTAGAATAACTAACAAAGGTGCATGAATAATGTGAATTAGGAAGCCTCTACCTCAAAATGAGCAAAACCCTAGAAATGGGTCAAGAATTTTGAAATCCCTAGGAGGCACCAAATCTGAATTTGCTGGTACTCAAGCGTAGAGCTCGCCGTGCTTTCCGATTTGCCTAAAACGGTATCCAAAATCTCTAAGTAATGAGAGAGGAATCCAAACTCAAAGTTTGGTAACAAAATAGAAAAGAAAAAAGAATGAAGAAGAGAAGAGAGAAAGGGAGGGTTACGGGAGAGAGAAAATGAGGAAGCCAAAATGGGTTTCTAGACCACTTATGTGGTTAATGGTGGGTCCCACCAATTTTATTTTCTTTTCCCTTTTTCTTTTACTTTCATTATCCACCTCACCCATATTTAATTACATGCACCACCAAGTAAACACCACATAATCATAGAAATTAAATTACACCCAATGCAAATTGACCCAACTAAAAATCTCATACGCAAAAATGTGAAAGGACAAAAATACCCTTTCGGCCACTAAGTTCTAGAAAAATGAAAATTGCCGAAAATCAGAAACGTCACATGGTAATTACCTGATTCGTATTCTTCAATTTCTTGCATAGTTTCTTTAACTTCGATTGGAAGTGGTGAAGCCTGTAACCAATCTTGTGCACATATCAAGCACTCCACAAGTTTGGGCGTTAGAGAACTACGGAATTGATTAAGAACACGACCTCTAGTGCTAAAAGCGGATTCAGAGGAAACTGTAGACACAGGAATAGCCAAAAAATCTTTAGCAACTTGAGCTAACACTCTATACTTGGAGCAATTCAATTTCCACCAACTCAATATTTCAAAACTTGGGGCACACTTCTCACAGGATTCCTCCAAATATCTATCCACCTCAGATTTGCAATCCATATCGTTTTCTTCTTCCAAGTACTTTTCAAACATAGAATCAAGAAAGTGTTCTTGCTCACGTGCTTCTCCAAGTGGCTGATCAACCGCCATTCCATTTGAATTTCGAGTCAAGGTGGCCAAAGATGAATTAAGCGAGTCATACAATTGGTACTCAGCAAAAACACGACTCAAAGCCTCTTTTACCCTATGTGTTAGCTCATCTACCTTGTGAGGAGGATAAAGTTTACCAGAGCAAAACTTCACATACTTCATTTTGAAACGAGGATCCAACACAAGAGCAACCAACAACATTATGTCCATTTTTTCAATGCTCCAACAATACTTGTCAAATTTGCTCTGCATTCTAAAGGCCATGGAACTTAAACAAGTATCCGAACTTTTTGCCCACTTGGATAAAAGACTTTCAATTCCAATTACTTCTTGAAAATATGAATTTGAAGTGACATATAAACATCCAGACAAGCGTAAAGCTGTATCATAAATTTTTTGCAAGAATTTGGCCAAAAGTCGAGCATCATCCCAATCACTCTTCGATGGAGGTTCATTACTAAGTTCCAACTTGTAATGTGGATCTTCCTCCTCAAACCTCTCAAATGCCTTTTGAACTTCTAATGCTGCTTCTAACATTAAAAATGTGGAGCTCCACCTAGTTTGAACATCAAGGCATAAAACACTTTTACTTGATATTCTCTCTTTCTCTATACATGCCTTAAAATGTTGTTGTCTTTGTGGAGAACTCTTAATATACCTCACAGCCTCACGAATACGAGTTATTGAATCCTTAATGTTATTTAACTCATCATTCACAATAAGATTCAATATGTGAGCAGAACACCTCATGTGAAAAGATTCACCACCTAGAATCAAAGTGCCATTCTTTTCGCAAAATTTTCTTTTCAAGTAAGCAATAGCATCATCATTGAAACTTGCATTATCAACTGTGAGAGTGCATAAGTTATCAAGACCCCATTCAATTAAACATGCCTCAACTGCCTGACCAATTGCCTCACCTTTGTCACTCGAAATCACACAAAAGTTTAGAATCCTTTTATGCAATTTCCAGTCATTATCGATAAAGTGAGACGTTAGGCACATGTAAGAGAGGTCCTGCAGCGAGGTCCAACAGTCTACAGTGAGAGAAATTCTTTGATTTGTTTCTTCCAATATGTTCCTCAACTTCTTCTTCTCTCTAAAATACGTTGCCAAACAATCCCTTGCCAAAGTAGTCCGTGACACGAGCTTAAATTCAGGTTGCAACACACTACAAAAACTACGGAATCCTTCATGCTCCAGAAACTTAAAAGGCAATTTATCTATTATGATCATCTTAGCAAGTGCATACCTAAACAACTCCTGGTCAAATTTACAAAGATGGTTACTATTGGAGCTTTCTTCTCCTCCCACCATTTGAAACGATTGGAGCTTTTGTTTTTTGTTTAGGTGGTATGGATATTTGAGACACCTAGTAACATGTTTTTTTAACATATTAGTCTCGTTAATACTCTCCCGCGCATAAATTGCATTACAATAATTGCATTTGGCACCCTCAGGTTTCCCTTCCTCCTCAAATTTAGTAAAGTGATCCCAAACATCAGATTGAAAGGCATTTTCCTTAGAAGTGCATACCTTCTTTCGAGATGGAGAGGTGGAAACATTGGTAGCAGTATCAGGAAGAGCATCACTGCTTTGATTTAAAGTATCTCCAGTGGTTGACATCTAAAATTAAAGAAAATTAAGCATTGTTACTAGGTGATTTACTAGAAAATCAGTTCTCATTTATTAATAGAAATATTAAAAGTTAAGCAACCATGCACTAGAATTTTTAGATATTATCAAATAATAAAATTAGAGTAATAAGAAATGAAACTCTTGCCCACTGAACAAACTATAAACTCAGATTATCAAATCATTAAAAATTCTTAATCTCATATATATGGTTATGTCTTTACTCCAAGGGGATCAAAATTGGTGTTTAACAAGAGGTAATTAAATGTTAGATATATAAAAATATATAGATAAGTATTGAATGGAATATAACTATACGCTATATGCTGAAAGAACTAAGTAGTTATAGATTTCGTGGAGAGCCTTTTAAAAAGTTTAACCAAAAAAATGCAATTATCGTGAGACTTTAATAATAATATTATTCAGAAAGAATCTAACAAGAAAAAACACATATACACACAAATCAAGATAAGGAAAAGAAAAAATAAAATAAACTGAATTTCTTACATTTTTTCTCAAAATTTTTGTGCGCGTGTTTTTGAGTGTGAAGAGTGAAGACAGAGAGAGAGAGAGACTTACCGGAGCATAAGTTCAATCGTCGGCCGGAGAAGATGGTGGATGTCACCGGAAAAAATGGTGAGCCGTGTTGAGAGCGAGAGAGGCGAAGAGTAATAAGTATTAGGTCAATGGGTTGGGACCCTATGTGTAGAAGATTAACGGTTACGGTTCTTTGGCGCCAAACCTTGAACCGAACCGAACCGACAGTCATTTGAAACTGAACTAATGTTTTTTTAGTTAAAACTGAACTAATGTTATATACAAACATTTAGATGTTTACAATTTTTAATTTTGAAATTTCGGCTTAAACATGTACCAGTTCATGTCCTAATTCTGTAAACTTTTATTAATTGTACAATCATGTAGTTATGTAGTTTAATTAATCATTGATAGCAAAAATAGCATTTGCAGATTTTTCATCAAGAGCATTTGCATCTTTTCATTACTAATTTACGATCTTGTATTTATTTATTTATTTATTTTTAACTTTTCAATTTTATAAACTTTGTGTCATATTTCATAGTCAAGTAATATATTATTCTGTGAGGATGATATTAAAATTGTGTAAAAACACAACATAAAATTAATTTAAATATTATTCAGTTGGACAAAATGAGAAACACATTTTTTTAATGTTTATATTTTAGACAAATATAGGTCTATTATGTTTTTAAAAATGAACAAAGAATTTGTTAAAATTTTAGTCATATGCATTGCACATGACATTTTTCAAAATATAAAATTCTGAAAAAAATTATATACATTACATTTAGAATATAAGTATGTGTGTTTATTGCGATGAAAAATTTTATGATATAAAATTCTGACAAAAAAGACGTTTTTAGTCATGTGCACATGATGTTCTCCCTATATATCAGTTATATACATTACGATTACGTTTTTTTTTTTTTTGTAACTTTGAGAATGTTTATATTTATAGGAAAATGTCTACAATTTGGTGATAAATATTGAAGTCTATAGTTGGCTTGATTTATTTTATGTTGAACAAAAATTGTCTTTAAATAATTTTGAATAAAAAGTTTAAATTTTCCAACTTGTCGTGAGACATTATGTTTTGTAAGTTTGGTGATAAATATTTAAGAGATAAAGTTTTATTTTTTAGTCTAAGCCAAATGTATTTTACAAGAAATAATAATAATAATAATAATAATAATAATAATAATAATAATAATAATAATAATAATAATAATAATAATAATAATAATAATAATAATAATAATAATAATAATAATAATAATAATAATAATAATAATAATAATAATAATAATAATAATAATAATAATAATAATAATAATAATAATAATAATAATAATAATAATAATAATAATAATAATAATAATAATAATAATAATAATAATAATAATAATAATAATAATAATAATAATAATAATAATAATAATAATAATAATAATAATAATAATAATAATAATAATAATAATAATAATAATAATAATAATAATAATAATAATAATAATAATAATAATAATAATAATAATAATAATATAATAATAATAATAATAATAATAATAATAATAATAATAATAATAATAATAATAATAATAATAATAATAATAATAATAATAATAATAATAATAATAATAATAATAATAATAATAATAATAATAATAATAATAATAATAATAATAATAATAATAATAATAATAATAATAATAATAATAATAATAATAATAATAATAATAATAATATAATAATAATAATAATAATAATAATAATAATAATAATAATAATAATAATAATAATAATAATAATAATAATAATAATAATAATAATAATAATAATAATAATAATAATAATAATAATAATAATAATAATAATAATAATAATAATAATAATAATAATAATAATAATAATAATAATAATAATAATAATAATAATAATAATAATAATAATAATAATAATAATAATAATAATAATAATAATAATAATAATAATAATAATAATAATAATAATAATAATAATAATAATAATAATAATAATAATAATAATAATAATAATAATAATAATAATAATAATAATAATAATAATAATAATAATAATAATAATAATAATAATAATAATAATAATAATAATAATAATAATAATAATAATAATAATAATAATAATAATAATAATAATAATAATAATAATAATAATAATAATAATAATAATAATAATAATAATAATAATAATAATAATAATAATAATAATAATAATAATAATAATAATAATAATAATAATAATAATAATAATAATAATAATAATAATAATAATAATAATAATAATAATAATAATAATAATAATAATAATAATAATAATAATAATAATAATAATAATAATAATAATAATAATAATAATAATAATAATAATAATAATAATAATAATAATAATAATAATAATAATAATAATAATAATAATAATAATAATAATAATAATAATAATAATAATAATAATAATAATAATAATAATAATAATAATAATAATAATAATAATAATAATAATAATAATAATAATAATAATAATAATAATAATAATAATAATAATAATAATAATAATAATAATAATAATAATAATAATAATAATAATAATAATAATAATAATAATAATAATAATAATAATAATAATAATAATAATAATAATAATAATAATAATAATAATAATAATAATAATAATAATAATAATAATAATAATAATAATAATAATAATAATAATAATAATAATAATAATAATAATAATAATAATAATAATAATAATAATAATAATAATAATAATAATAATAATAATAATAATAATAATAATAATAATAATAATAATAATAATAATAATAATAATAATAATAATAATAATAATAATAATAATAATAATAATAATAATAATAATAATAATAATAATAATAATAATAATAATAATAATAATAATAATAATAATAATAATAATAATAATAATAATAATAATAATAATAATAATAATAATAATAATAATAATAATAATAATAATAATAATAATAATAATAATAATAATAATAATAATAATAATAATAATAATAATAATAATAATAATAATAATAATAATAATAATAATAATAATAATAATAATAATAATAATAATAATAATAATAATAATAATAATAATAATAATAATAATAATAATAATAATAATAATAATAATAATAATAATAATAATAATAATAATAATAATAATAATAATAATAATAATAATAATAATAATAATAATAATAATAATAATAATAATAATAATAATAATAATAATAATAATAATAATAATAATAATAATAATAATAATAATAATAATAATAATAATAATAATAATAATAATAATAATAATAATAATAATAATAATAATAATAATAATAATAATAATAATAATAATAATAATAATAATAATAATAATAATAATAATAATAATAATAATAATAATAATAATAATAATAATAATAATAATAATAATAATAATAATAATAATAATAATAATAATAATAATGATGATGATGATGATGATGATGATGATGATGATGATGA